ACTGTGATCAAACAATTCCTTAAGGGTTTCTATAAATAAATAGAATAACTGAGTAAGGAGCTCTATGTATCAGTAAATACAAGGGCAGGCACAGAAGAATTGAGTTCACTTATGTCAGAAGCTTTTGTTTGGATGCTTACCATGTGCCCGGTGCTACAGTAGGTGCTAGATCTCGATTTATCTGATGCCATCTGCCTCAAGGAAATTACTCCTATTTCCCCTCCTCAAAAACAAAGCACTTTTGGAGGTGGTATCATTTTGTTACAGGCAATTCTCGTGATTCAGTCTTTCCATAACATCTTTTATCAGCATCTTAGGTCTTGTGTTCTTCTAAGTGGTAGGAGTAAGGAATTGCTATCCAAGGCTTACATGAGGCACAGATAAATCTAAAGAGCTAAAAATATTATTTTGTCAAAATATGCTTCCTTAAATCAAGTAGGTGATATTATAGATGTGGAAACAAGATACCGACAGGAAGTAATTATTTTATATTGATGATAGAACTATACATTTGTCTAATGTTCTTTTTCTAAAGCCCTTGGGTTTGCTCTGTTATATTATTCAGTTCTCTATAATCTTCTGATTGGTATTAAAAATAACTTTAAACTGTGTGATGTGAAAAAAAATGAAGAAAACAAAACTCTCTTGTAATTTCTGTACCCAGAGAAAACAAAAATCAGCCTACCTTTACATATCCTTCCAGACTGTTTTTCTATAAACTCATTATCATTTCAAAAGTCATCCATTAACTTTTTGTTTTGACTTTCTGGGTTTGCCCTGGATTGTGTCTTTTATATGTATTTACCTTACACCTTGAAGTAGCAATTTCCAGGCCTTTCACCTGAAACTCAGGCCCTTCTAGACAAATCTACTTGGTACTTCTACAATATCTCTAAACACATATTCTCTATTTTCCTTCTTGAGTTTTCAAGTTTGTCAATTCTTGACTCTGTCCTTTTTCTCCCTTACATACCGTACCAAATAATGCTGTTTCTAGGAGTAAATTCTCTCCCTAGGGTTCCGCTTCTCCTCTGCCCCAGTCTCCCACCTGCCTTCAGGCTCACTTTCACCCACTGTCCTTAGATTTATCCTCTTAAAACAGAGAGTTACAGAGTTCCCTCAACGGCTTCCACAGATACAGGATAAAATCCAAATCCTTAATGTGGCTAGGGCTTTCACGGTGGTACAGCGGTAAAGAATCTGCCTGCCACTGCAGGAGATGCAGATTCAATCTCCGAGTTGGGAAGATCCCCAAGGTTCCCGAGTTGGCAACCCCCTCCAGTATTCTTGCCTGGGCAATCCCATGGACAGAGGAGCTTCGCAGGTCACAGTCCATGGGGTCACGAAGGGGTTGACACGACTTAGCGACTAAACAACGACGAGAACACATGTGGCTTACAAGATCCTCCCATTTTAGCATCTCTCCTCCCCAGACTGGTGCCATCAAAGGAACTTAAACTGGAATTACTTTTGACTTGAAGTCTAAGCTCCACCTAGTGGTACAAGACAACATTTCTGGGTGGAAATCCAAGGAATATGAAAGGTCCACCCTGTGAGATCAAGCAAACCTGCTGACACAGGTGTCCAACAGCTAAGAGTAAAATGTGGAAAAGACAGGAACCCTGGGACTCAACGGCCCACCTAGTAGTTTTCTGTAAGCACTGGGTTCTCCTAAGGAAATGCCTGAAACCTCCAAACCAGTTATTAGTGCCATTCTCGAAAGAAGATGAAAAGTTATAATGGCATCTCTTTAGTTATTGTCACCAAATAAAATCACAGGATAATTCTGAATTAACTCTTTATTTGTTGCCTATATCTTTCCAGAATTTTCATGAAAGTCCAAACAATCACAGTATTCATTCATGTATAATCATCCACTCAATGCACATTTAAAGAGCACTTGTAAAGCAGATACTAACAAAGCTAATAATATAGGGTCTAATCCACACCAGTCTACAAACAGGAAAGAAAGTAAATAAATCCATGATGATAATACAGAAGGGAAATTTAACCTGTCCAGGGAAAGAGTGGGGTTCCTGGAAGAAATGATGACTGTGGTGGTTGGTGAAGTCTAGTAAGAATTAAGTATGTACACCTATAGCTGATTCATGTTGATGTTTGACAGAAAACAACAAAATTCTGTAAAGCATTTATCTTTCAATTAAAAAATAAATAAAATTTTAAAAAATTAAGTAAAGAGTAGAGCAAACAGTACTAAAGAGTCTCTTAAAGAAGGTCAAAGTGAAAAAGCTGGCTTAAAACTCAACATTCAAAAAACTAAGATCATGGCATCTGGTCCCATCACTTCATGGCAAATAAATAATGAAACAGTGACAGACTTTACTTTTTTGGGCTCCAAAATTACTGCAGACAGTAACTGCAGCCCTAAAATTTAAAGACGCTTGCTCCTTGGAAGAAAAGCTATGATAAATATAGACAGTATTAGAAAGCAGAGACATCACTTTGCTGACAAAAGTCCATCTAGTCAAAGCTATGGTTTCTCGAGTGGTCATCTATGGATGTGAAAGTTGGACTTATATCAAGAAGGCTGAGCACCAAAGAACTGATGCTTTGGATCTGTGGTGTTGGAGAAGTCTCTTGAGAGTCCCTTTGACACAAGGAGATCAAACCAGTCAACTCTAAAGGAAATCAACCCTGAATATTCAATGGAAGGACTGATACTGAAGCTGAAGTTGCAATACTTTGGCCACCTGATGTGAAAAGCCAACTCACTGGAAAAGACCCTGAAGCTGGGAGGGATTGGGGGCAGGAGGAGAAGAGGGATACAGAGGAAGAGATGGTTGGATGGCATCACCGACTCAATGGACATGAGTTTGAGTAAACTCCGGGAGTTGGTGATGGACAGGGAGGCCTGGTGTGCTGCAGTTCACCGGGTAACAAAGAGTTGGACACAAATTAGCAACTGAACAACAACAGAGTGAACGGTATTGCTTCAAAGTGCTACCCACACAACAGAGAGTAGCACGTTAAAAAGCTGGCCTAATACATCAGCTGAAGTAAGGAGAGCATCATGAAAAGAGAAATCTCAATGGAAAGGACTCTGTCAGCTTCCTTCAGGGAAACCCTACAGACCAAAATGTCTCGATTTTAAAATACTTTGTAAGCAGCAGCATTTAAAGCAGGATGAGAAGACAGTGTTTTAAACTGTGTGACTGTAAAAACCACACATTTTCAAATGTCCAACGTGTACACGGCGAAAGATCTAAGAAGCCATTTTCCTTACCCCTCTTTCTCTTTTTGGGATAATGCTCAACACTGAAAATTTTAAGAGGGGGTTTATTAATCACACAGAAGTCTTTTTCAAAAGGTTTACAGTTATAGCTTTTTATAAAATGCTGGATGGCTTCAGATTAAAAGCATCTATGAAACTATGTAATACACAACAAATCACAGGAACCCAGTGAATACTACAAGCCACAGGCTTCCTGCTACAGATATCTCACCTGCCTCTGTCGGAGCAATGTCAGCAAAACCTCACTTATAACCGTCCCAGTGGCAACCCACCAGCTGCCATTGATGAGAACTAGTAGAAAGTTATATTAAACACACAGACCAGACCTGTCCCCGGTAACTGGCATTAACTAGGACCAAGTCTGGGGCCCTGTGGACCAAGTGCCTGCTACCAGCCCAGGTTTCATATACTGGACTGCAGTTCATTCTCAGAGACCTCCTTAGTCTTCTGAGCCTTGCAATCCTCAGTACACCGTAATCTGTGCCACATCAAGTTTCATCTCTGGTTCTCTTTCTTTAGGGGGTTTCCCTGATGGCTCAGATGGTGAAGAATCTGCCTGCAATGCAGGAGACCTCTGAACATACTCCAGGCTTGCCTGTGATGGGATCAGTAGGTATGAAAAGGATGGTAAAGCAAAACAGGAGTATGAGCTCCATCACTAAAGCAAAACAGGAGCATGAGCTCCATCACGCTAGACAAGCCACTGGTGCTAACATGACCGCAGATGCAACAATCATCCTCAGACACTGTATGACACTGTGGACTCATCTTAAGAGGCCTCTTAACTGCAACTTCCAAGTCATCATCATCATGGTCTTTTGCTTGTTTTTAATCTAAGGATGCCAGGCCATGTCTCCTCCATTTCCTATTGCCTAGCTGATACCAAACTGTGCAGGCATTTCTACCAAGACTTCTATGGATATGTCTATTTAAACATTAAGAAAAATACTTCTCATACAGGGTAAGTGACCATTAGTTAATAAATATTTATGAGCAGACACTATGTGCTAGGCACTGTGTTAGATGCTGGAAGATAAGAGTAAATAAGACACACCAATCTTATTTAACTGTACTTCTCTTTATATAAGATTTTGTTGATAAAACAGGCCTGGCAGCACATAGAAGCTGCTCAATAAACTGTTACTGTTTCAGGCTTCCCACCCGGCTCAATGCAGGAGCCTCAGAAGATGCAGGTTAGATCCCTGAGTCGGGAAGATCCCTTAGTGGAGGAAATGGCAACTCACGCCAGTATTTTTGCCTGGGAAATTGCATGGACAGAGGAGCTTGGTGGGCTGCAGTCCATGGGTTACAAAGAGTCAGACACGACTGAGCATGCATGTGCAAGAGTAACAAACACTAAAGTCCTCCAGTTCCACCTCTCACTCTCATTATTACTATATAGCATATTATAATATTATATATACATAATTATTATATGGACTTCCCTGGTAACTCAGATGGTGAAGAACCTGCCTGCAATGCTGGAGACCCAGGTTCGATCCCTGAGTTGGGAAGACACCCTGGAGAAGGGAACAGCAACCCACTCCAGTATTCTTGTCTAGAGAATCCCATGGCCCAGAGGAGCCTGGTGGGCTACAGTCCATGGGGTCGCAGAATCGGACACGACTGAGCGACTAACACTACACTACTATAACATGATATACTATTACCAGTTACAAATTATCATCTTTTAAAAATTACTGCAGTTTTAAAATGAAAATACTGCAGAGTTGCCATCAATACTCACCAACACTATAATATCTCTTTAGTTCTGTACGCCTGATCTCCTTTAACTGATTACTTTTTCTCTTCTTTTTCTCATCAGTAATGTACTCCTCTTCCACAGCAATGTTACACTTGTCTTGCTCTAAAATGACTTTACTAGCATCTTCTTTTCCAGAATGAGTCCTTGCAGCCATAGCTGAGGCTGTCTCTGCATTTTGTTTGGCCTGCTTCTTCTTTTTCAATCTAAGGGTGAGAAGGAAAAAAAACAAAAAACATTAGAAAAATAATTTGCTAAGAGAAATTATATTAATTTCATGCTATTGGGCTTTGAGAAACTAATTGACTGATATTAAAAACACTTTATATTATTGGTTTTTTCCATCTTTATTTTTATATATTATTGTTAATTATGCTTTCCTGTTATTTTTTCTTTTTTAATCACTTAAAAATTCTTACATGGAGATCTGTGGCCTTTCCTCTGTTTTATGTCCCCAATACTGATGTCTCAAAAACATCACTGGGAAATGCTTTAGACCTAAGGAAATACTAGATTCTTCCATAGGCTATAAGACATTGGGTATGTTGTTTACCAAAATGTACAGCTACTTTACTATCATGCCATGTTTAGTGTGTTTCTGGTCTCAAGGGTACCTTTAGACTGATGAGCAAGCATATTTATAAAAAACAAATCCATTATAATTGACTCACACACTGAATATAAAGGTTTGTCAAGGTTTGAGCTGGTTCAGGTTTGAGTAATTCTTTTCCTTTATACCTACAATAGTAAGAAAGAGCTGAACTTCTTGGGATAGACAATACCATAATGACAATATCAACTTAGTATAATTACTAATATAAAAGCTGACTGATAACATTAACTTATTTGACAATTTCAACCTTTCACTCCTCAAAGACGTGTAAAAGGTTTACCATAATTCACTGAAATCCAGTAACTCAAAATATTTTCCAGTTGATGTATCATTCTGAGTAACTGACATGTCACTCTGTACTCACCAGTCCTTCTTAAGAATGTTTTTACCTCCCAGAATGTAAAGAGTAAGGGCCTTGGCCTCCACTGTGTGAGACAGGCTGGTCACATATAAACTTTTTTAAAATTAGGATTCTTTCCCCTCTTCTGTCTAGGCACAGTCAGTTTTCTCACACACAGTCTCCTTCCTTTACTCCTGTGAGCATCTACACAATTTGATGTTGGGCAATGGATGAGGAAATGTTTTGGGAGGAAAAGGAGATAACTAGGATCAGAAAGGGACTACATTTTGATTTTATGCTGCTTTGCTCTGTAATGTTGGCCAAATCAATTTAATAGTCTAAAGAGGTCCCTCACTGAGGCTTGGCTATCTAATGCAATCTTTTATCAGGATGAACTGAAATAATAATGTCAACAATAGAACACACACAAACAGAATATACCCAAATACAATCATATGATGACATGAGAACTAACTATGGCATGGTATACAACACACTTAGCTTTTGAGATAACAGTCTCATGTTCTAACAGATATTTCAACTAGGCTGTCATTCACTTAACACTGAGCAGGCAAGTTCTTAGATTTTCATTGGCTAATAAATTAGTATATGGCCTAAGAGAAAGCACAGCTAGAAAAAAAAATCACAGATGGATCTACTCCCCATCTCTGAGTTTAGCTATCTCTTTAGGTTTGCTTGTTAAAAAACAAACAAACAAGCATACAATCTAAACAAAATTGGAAACTCATAAAAAAGAAATTATACCCAATAAACATATTTTTATTTTGTACCCTCACATTCTACACTTTTTTTTTTTTCAGGTAAAACACTATGTAGCTCTTTGCAAAGGTAAGTCAGATAATGCTCCTAATGAAACAATTTCTTGATCAAGATGTCTGTATGACATTGAAATTAATATGCAGTGGTGGCTTCCCAGGTGGTTCAGTGGTAAAAGAATCCACCTGCCAATGCAGGAGATCAAATTTCAATCCCTGGGTCGGGAAGATACCCTGGAGAAGGAAATGGCAGTTCACTCCAGTATTCTTGCCTGGAGACTCCCATGGACAGAGGAGCCTGGAGGGCTACAGTCCAAGGGGTCACAGAGAGCTGGACATGACTAAGCACGCGTGCACAACCTAGGTATCACACGGAGATCAGCTGTTTGCTTAGGGAGGTCTATGCAGACAGCTGATCTCTGTATCCAGAAGGACATACTAATTTTGTTCTGATATATTGGTTTAACAAAAACATGCCTGAGATGAATGTTACTGCCCACTTCCTAAAATGATTCCTTCCAGGGAGGAGAGAAAAGAGATTTCCAAAATTAGTTCTTCCCAGCCTGAGATAGTTGCTGCTTCTTAATCTTCTGACTTTTTCCACTGTAAATTGATCTAAATGTCCTCATTTCACTGTTCCCATTATAATTAAACTCACTCAGATCTAGGGCACATGTTTTGATGAACAGCAGCACTGTTTGGGGACATCTCATTAGAGACTGTTTTTCACAGGTGGAAATAACAAAATGGGATACATTGTTACATCCACTTTCCCCCTTTTCCATACAGACCTTTATTGTCAAGCCATAGAGCCAAACATATGGCTATTAAAAAAAAAAAAAAAGCTACATAATAGCAATACCAAATTTGCATAACAGAAGACAGAGTACAATTTTACACTTCGGTGATTTTACAATCAGTTACATCTTTTGTTTTGACTACAGAACTCAGGAGAATTTGCTTCTCTGGAGGTTATAAATATGAGTAGAGCATTCTGACCTTGTAACTGGAAATCATACTGTGAGTTCTGCAAGCCCACTGTAAAATCCTTCTTCAAAGCATGAAAATAGATTTTTAACATTTACCTACAGGAGAATAAAAAAGGCAAAATCGTTGTCTGAGAAGGCCTTACAAATAGTTGTGAAAAGAAGAGAAGCAAAAGGCAAAGCAGAAAAGGAAAGATATATCTATTTGAATGCAGAGTTCCAAACAATTGCAAGGAAAGATAAGAAAGCCTTCCTCAGTGATCAATGCAAAGAAATAGAGGAAAACAATAGAACGGGAAAGACAAGAGATCTCTTCAAGAAAATTAGAGATACCAAGGGAACTTTTCATGCAAAGATGGGCACAATAAAGGACTGAAAAGGTATGAACCTAACAGAAGCAGAAGATATTAAGAAGAGGTGGCAAGAATACACAGAAGAACTGTACAAAAAAGATCTTCACAATCCAGATAATCATGACGGTGTGATCACTCACCTAGAGCCAGACATCATGGAATTCAAAATCAAGAGGGCCTTAGGAAGCATCACTACAAACAAAGCTAGTGGAGGTGATGGAATTCCAATTGAGCTATTTCAAATCCTCAAAGATGATGCTGTGAAAATGCTGCACTCAATCTGCCAGCAAATTTGGAAAACTCGGCAGTGGCCACAGGACTGGAAAAGGTCAGTTTTCATTCCAATCCAAAGGAAGGCAATGCCAAAGAATGCTCGAACTACCACATAATTGCACTCATCTCACACGCTAGTAAAGTAATGCTGAAAATTCTCCAGGCCAGACTTCAACAGTACATGAACCGTGAAATTCCAGATATGCAAGCTGGATTTAGAAAAGGCAGAGGAACCAGAGATCAAATTGCCAACATCTGCTGAATCATCGAAAAAGCAAGAGAGTTCCAGAAAAACATCTACTTCTGCTTTATTGATTACACCAAAGCCTTTGACTTTGTGGATGACAACAAACTGTGGAAAATTCTTCAAGAGAAGGGAATACCAGACCACCTAACCTGCCTCTTGAGAAATCTGTATGCGGGTCAGGAAGCAACAGTTGGAACTGGACATGGAACAGACTGGTTCCAAATAGGGAAAGGAGTACGTCAAGGCTGTATACTGTCACCCTGCTTATTTAACTTATATGCAGAGTACATCGTGAGAAACACTGGGCTGGAGGAAGCACAAGCTGGAATCAAGATTGCCGGGAGAAATATCAATAACCTCAGATAGGCAGTTGACACCACCTTTACGGCAGAAAGTGAAGAAGATCTAAAGAGCCTCTTGATGAAAGTGAAAGAGGAGAGTGAAAAAGTTGGCTTAAAACTCAACGTTCCAAAAACTAAGATCATGGCATCTGGTCCCATCACTTCATGGCAAATAGATGGGGAAACAGTGGGTGACTTTTTTTTCTGGGCTCCAAAATCACTGCAGATGGTGACTGCAGCCATGAAATTAAAAGATGCTTGTTCCTTGGAAGAAAAGTTATGACCAACCTAGACAGCATATTAAAAAGCAGAGACATTACTTTGTCAACAAAGGTCCGTCTAGTCAAGGCTATGGTTTTTCCAGTAGTCATGTATGGATGTGAGAGTTGGACTATAAAGAAAGCTGAGCCCCAAAGAATTGATGCCTTTGAACTGTGGTGTTGGAAAAGATTCTTGAGAGTCCCTTGGACTGTAAGGAGATCCAACCAGTCCATCCTAAAGGAGATCAGTCCTGGGTGTTCACTGGAAGGACTGATGCTGAAGCTGAAACTCCAATACTTTGGCCACCTGATATGAAGAACTGACTCATTGGAAAGGATCTTGATCCTGGGAAAGACTGAAGGTGGGAGAAGGGACGACAGAGGATGAGATGGTTGGATGGCATCACCAAATCAATGGACATGAGTTTGTGACAAGGAGACTTTGTGACTCTCCTCCGGGAGTTGGTGATGGACAGGGAGGCCCGGTGAGCTGCAGTCTATGGGATCACAGAGTCGGACACGACTGAGCCACTGAACTGAAGGGGGAATAATTGCCAATCTGATAAATGTGGTATAGTTAATGCTCTTCAAACATTCCTTTCAGGACTTTTTATCTTTGAGGCCTTTCCTTTTGTTCTTCAAATCAATATCACTGCAAGACAGTCCCACAGAAGGGTTCTGTTATCACTAAATTAAGGTAAACTGGAAACAAAAAGTTCTAGAAGAAAATAAACTCCCTTTATTTCACCAAAGCTTTTTCAATGACCCCAAATGTACACATTTACATGGCGGACTAAAAAAATTACCTGGAAAATTATCTTAGACAGGTGATTGAAAATAATGAAACATGTTTAACATTTAATGGCTGTGAATGTGGGGGAAAAAAAACAAACCCTAAAAAACAAAAAACCTCTTGTAATGCTCTATTTGTCTTAAAAAAATAAGCAAATAAAAGGCCACAGTGACATAAAACGAGTGTTTATTTCTAAATCCCCTGTCGCTGCTGTAACCTAGGCC